AACAAGAGATAGCTAAAGAAGAAATAAAAGTTTACAGCCTCCCAATTTAAACGTTGTGCATGTACCACTTCCACAATTTTAAATGATTCTTGATAAATTTTAAAAAACATATGCGCAACTTTATAAACTATACTATTTTTACATTTAAATTTTAATTTGTGCTTTTCTTCAGAAAAAAATCTGGCTACTTTGATAATAATAATAATAATACAAAACTCTTCATGCAATCTCTGACAAAATCAACAAATTAAGAACTTCTAACAGCGGGAGTGGAAAAAAATTAGGCTAGTTGCAACTTCCAGCATTGTATTATTTTTAAAATACTTTTTTTTACTGTGCTAGTTTTTTTTTTGTACTATTTAAAAAAAAAACTCAATTGGTTTAATTTGAGATATTCATAACCTAACACCTGTATACATTAAAATAACTCTGATCAAGTTTTATAAATAAAATAAATAAATTTGATGGATCTATGAAGCTTGTCTGAGCCAGAAATCATTACAACACTAGAAATCATTGTATTATTTTTAAAATACTTTTTTTTACGGTGCTAGTTTTTTTTATTGTACTATTTAAAAAAAAACTCAATTGGTTCAATTTGAGATATTCATAACCTAACACCTATATACATTAAAATAACTTTGATCAAGTTTTATAAATAAAATAAATAAATTTGATGGATCTATGAAGCTTGTCTGAGCCAGAAATCATTACAACACTAGAAATCATTCATTAAAACCCATAAAAAATTAAGCCTTTGAATCTATTTTCTTTTTACTTATATGGGTGTTTGGGCTAACTTGCGCACATCACGACTAATCCTGCGGTCCACTAAACATCCTGCAAGTCCAATAAATATGTAAGAGCCTAGTAAACATACAAGATATCACAGAGATAATAAATATATATAGTGAGACTCGAACTCGAATACAGAAAAAAGGAACAAATCTTTCCTATTGATTAAGCCTTTGAATCTATTTTCTTTTTATTTACATGGGTATTTGGACCAACTTGCGCGCATCACGACTAATCCTGTGGCCCACTAAACATCCTGCAAGTCTAGTAAATATGTAAGAGCCCATTAAACATGTAAGATATCACGAAAATAATAAACATATATAGTGAGACTCGAACTCGAATACAGAAAAAAGGAACAAATCTTTCCTATTGCTAAGCTAACACCGCAAGTACGTACCATCTTGAGGAGGAAATATGCTCAGCTAAAGTGGGTCTCCATATGATTTTGGTAAAATTTCCATCCCTACATTTTCCCTTGAGAAGCTCATAAATTTTACATTTCTCAACTCTCTCCTTCTGTGAAGTTGCCTGTCCGTTCAAGGCCGTAGCCATTCTTGAATGGGCATCATAACTAATGTTGGGGAAAGAGGACCATTATATATTATTGGTTTTTAAGAAAATTAACAATGTGATACATCCTTTCACGGCAACCAATGCCGCCTGGAAAATTAAAAGAAAAAGGAAAATCTTTGCAAGTACTTAAAAAAGAATAATTTTATTGCTCCCCCCAAATAAAACCAAAGAAATAAAATTATAATTGACATTTGACTCCAGATGGCTAACTGTACATATAACTTTTATTTTATTTTATTATAATATCTAGTTTGTAAGCCGAGCTTGTAACTTCTACATGTATCCATGCATAAATTACTTCGTCTTCCTTCTAATAAATTTATTAAATGCTTTCCGAAAGAAATAAGATATTCATTACGTAATCACATGAATAACTTTCAATTTAATAAGAACTGATAGGACATACCCATCTAATAAATTTTATATCCACACGTGTGCAAGTCTGTTCAAATGTACGTGTTGATATACCAGCCTGCTTCTCTATAGTTTTCTCTTGTTAATTTCAAAGGAAAAGGGCTCCTTCGCATTATTGTAAGATAAAGTAGCATGTGAAGGCTAGCTCCTTGTTTTCGTGAAGAATTAGTTCAAAATTATTAGAGTTTTTTAGTTTATATATATATATATATGGTTACAATAGTTTTTTAACAAATAAGAAAGGAATGAATAAAAATTAAAGATGTTGAATATTTAACAATAATTATAATGTTTGTTTGTTTTGTATCTTTGAGATTTATAATATATAGTAAATTTATTATCTTTTGCTCTTTGCAAATGCAGCTCAATTTCTGCTAGCAAGGATTGTGCTGTTCAAGAAGATAAAGATGAAGATGGTGCTGCTCATCTATTTAATTATGTAATTAACAAAATCGAGACAATGACAACATCTTTAGTGCTGATTGCATCATGTCAATATTTTTGTACTTTAATTTTTGTCTGCAAATTAATAAAATATCAAGATTGAACTAAGAGTTTGAGTGGACCTTTTCTTCAGTGCCGGAGCTAATAAAGTCGATCATGACTCTAACCCCTTCTCTTGTGTTGCCTTTTTTCGGTCCATGATTATTATTTTATTTTGAAACAGTAAAGGGATAGGATTAGACGTCTAGTAGGAGCTAGGGAAATCACCAGCATGCGATGGCAAGTTTTTGTTGTTGTTTTTCTGTGTAAATAATGATCTTCAACTTGATTAGACACAGCACATTCATGTTAGTGTAGAATATTCAAGTAAGCTACCATCACCTTTGTCTATATACAAGCTGAGGGGTTTTTCAATACTTTTCCATGAATTTCTCCTTTTTCTTCTTTTCTTTCTTTAGTATTATCTCGTGAAACCCAGCAGGAAGCATGCAGATTTTTATAAAAATATTTTCTTTTTTATTTGGTTCCAATAAGATTTATAAAGATAATACTCGCCTAGTTAGCCCTAATAATTAAGATTTGGTCCTCCACGCCCGAGAATCAAGCTCTCACCCAATCATATATTCGGTCTGTAAGTTGTTTCATCGTAAATTATAAGGTGATATAGGTACTGAGCGATATCCAGAAATAAAATGTTGCATTGTTTCGCTTGGTTCATCAATCTAACCTTCACCCTTTTTGACTGCTTGCTCAACTTACCTTAACTTTTACAGATAATTAGTAAGGACCACCTCCCAGGCTGCTGCTATGGCCTAAGGAGATTGTTTTTAGCCGACGTTCTTGTATAGTTCTGGTTTTCTTATTTCTAATGTGGAAAAATAAAAACCTAGCTCCGGGAATATTGATGTATTTCTGACGAGTGAGATATTTTTCTTTTAAGGGAATATATATTGAACATAAATCTTATGTTATGCATATTGACCAATTACAAACCCTCCTTCTGTTATTTGGTTTTTGCAATTGGCTATGTGCCATTTTCTACAAGTTACTTAGTTTAATTTAAGCATTGTTTTTGGTTAATTTATATACATAAATGTAAAAAAAAAATCAATTTACAGTACGCTTGTTAATATGAAATAAATTTGAAGATGTAAACTGATAGCCTTGTCTTAAAATATTTTATTGTAAGCTATCTAATAGTAATAGTGTGATTGCACTATTGTTTTCTAAACTTACTCAATTCTTATTCTTAACAGTACAGATAAAAATAAACAGCGAAAAATGTATATGGTTGTTTTTTGGTGTGTGTGTAAAGTAAAAAAGAAAAATCAACTTACAATACACTTGCTATCTAGCTAGCGGTAATAATATGATTGTAATATTATTTTTTAAACTTAATTTTTTATTTCTAATAGTATAAATAAAAATAAATAGCTCAACAAAACTTAATTATATGCTACTCTTCCCAAGCAAGTAGCATAAATTTTTTGAGAGTAGAGTAAAAACCAGATTTCTGAATGTTAAGAGTTGTTTTTTTTTTTTAAAAAAAAAACCAGATTTCTGAATGTTAAGAGTTTTTTTTTTTTTTTTTTAAAAATCTAATCTAAAAACCTTGTCAGAATTGTTTCTTTATAAAAAACAACCATGATGGTTGACTTAACGTTAGTTTTTAAAATTAAATCTTCAACGTGCACAAGTACTCTACGGTAAAAGACATAAAATTCCATTTACGCCCTAACATCACCATTCTGTATTAGCCTCTTTTTTATAGTATTTTTACCCTATCTAACTCCATCTTTGCTACACGGCAGCCGCCATGTGATGTGATGTGGGGCACAGGCACCGTCCTCCCTCAAAATTTAACAACATTAATTAATGCATCAATGATAATTTATATAGTATAATTCATCCCATCCGGATGTTAACCTTTTTTCTCATAAATTTATAACGACGTTTTTCAAAATGTTGGAAAACACTTTTCATATTCGTTTGCAATAATTTCTTATCCAATGGCAATGCCAATTGATATTTACGTTTCAAAAACAAAAGTGATTTTAAAAAATTTAATTTCTTTATTTTTTTCTTTACTTGAAATTAATATTTTTTGGTGTTTTCAAATCATTTTAATATGTTGATATCAAAAATAATTTTTAAAAATAAAAAATATTTTTTAATATATTTTTAAATCAAAAACATTTTTAAAAATAATTATTATCCTATTCTTATATATACTTATATAACAATAGTAGGTAAGAAGCAAGTTTGAATGATATCTTTGAGAGATTATATCAGTATGGTTTAGCTTTTATTTTTATTTTTATTTTTTAATTTTAAACTATTTTTTGAATTAGAGATTATATCAGTATGGTTTAGCTTTTTTTTTTATAATATTTTTTGAAATTTTAAATTCTTTAAATATACTGATATTAATATTAAATTAAAAATATATATTTTTAATATATTAAAAAAAACAATTTCTACATAAATCTCAAACACCGTCTTTACTGGCAAGTGCTTTGATTGTGTCTTCTTGTCAGAGTCTTATTTTAATTAGGGTTAAGTTGCTGATATGTCATCCACTCGTATTACATCGGTGAAAATGTATCCACTTCAATAAATAATTTTTAATTTATACAAAGGCAAAAGCATAATTATAGTTGACTTCACAACTGTCTCCCACGGTGTATAATCCAATTAAATAATAATCAATCGAACCATGGCACTCCAAAATTCGTTGGAACATAAATTAATTAGCCCCGCGTATGTTCTTCTCCATTTTCAAAGACAAAGTTTCTTTCCTGACATTAATGGCAAAGGTTTTTCCTCAGAGTCAAAGACCTACGTTAGACCCTTTCGTGTCTTTTGAAAGACAAACATACACTATATGGATGAAATCACTTCTGTGCCAAACTAATGGTTGCACAGTCTTTGATTCCGATGGAGACATTGTTTATCGCGTTGACAACTATGACAAGAAGTGCAGCAACAAGGTCTATCTCATGGATCTTCGAGGCAGAGTTCTTGTTACAATACTAAGACAGGTATTAAAAAGAATTGATCTAGTAATTGTTTGTGATTAATATTGGTTTGATGCAATTTTGTGATCATATTAATTATAAATGGTTTTTCTTCTCTCTTTTTAATCGATATCCATGCAGAGGTTATATTGTTTTGGATGCTGGTATGGTTATCGATGGAATTCTTATGCCAACAAGGAGAAGCCATGGTTTCAAGTGAAGAAATATTGCAGATTTGTTTGTATGGGAAGTTTTGCCTGTCAAGTTACTGTAGGATTTGAGAAATACTGGATAGAGAAATTGGCTAGCAAAACAGCATTTAGAATCGTAGGCATTGATGGAAATGTTATTGCAGAGGTTAGTATTCTGTTTCCGCTATGATTTTAGCTTTTCCTTATTGCAAAGGCAGGTTTAAGGTCCAAATTCTTCAGTTTGTTGGGTTAATGCATGCAGGTGAAGCAAAAACAATTATCTTCGGGGATCACGCTGGGAGATGATGTGCTAACTTTGGTTGTGGAGCCTCAAGTAGATCATTCCCTGATTATGGCAATCGTGACTGTCTACGGATTGATCAAACATATGCTGTAGAATATTACTTACTATCTTTTAAATTTCATGCACAGTGAGACAGCAATCCCAATATTTACAACAGAACATGCAGACTAGTCGCCAAACAATAATTCTTCTGCGGAGCCTTCGACTTCCAAATCTTTTCGTAAGGTTTGATATTTACAATCACAGCTGTAGTACTATCCAGCTATATATATATATATATATATATATATCACCGTCTACAAAAGAAGAATTGAGATCCTAAATGTGACGCTTCTTGCTACCGAGAGTTGAAAACTAGAAGGATTTTATGCCGCTGTATAAAATGACGAAGCAGAGAAGAATGAAGAATGAAGCAGCTTGTATGATATTTTATTGAAATCATATGTATGTAACGTCACCAATGTATACAATACCATGGATGTCTTTGTCTGCTGTACATTCTTGAATGCAAACTCACAGGTCAAATCCCATGATATGTGGTGACAAATTCATCGTTGGGACAATTTGACAGCTAACAGTATGATCTTGAGTTTTTTGTTGTTCCAGGATTGTTAGCTAATGCATATCCGTTAGTTGTGGATGCTTCAATATCCCCCCCGTAATTGAAAGGGCATATCAATAAAAATCATTACTATAATGAAAAACAATTATTCTACAGGCTATAAATGGACCCTGTTCTCCCCCACTGTCACCGTCCAGATTGTACGTGCCTTTAACGTGTCAGTACGACCTGTTTTTTTAAAAGTATTTCTCAAATTATATTTTTAAAAAGCTATTAAATTAATTTTTTAAGGATCTTTTATATTATCTTAATATACTAACGTTAAAAATAAAAATTTTAATAAAAAAATATTTTTTAAAAAATCATGCTTCATGATATTAAACAGCACATAAAAAAATATATGAAAATAAAACATCCCTTCTTTTATCTTGTTATAATAATTTGCGTTTCTCTCCCCAAGGATATTTATGGTATCATCAGCCAGATTCTCAAAAAATATGTCCTAACCTCAAATTTAAGGTATATAATATTATTAGAGCTGTCTTCTCTCTTTTTTTTTAAATAAATAAATAAATAAAATTTTCAATAAAAGGAGAAAGGCCCCTCCCTGTGTACAAGCAAAGCCACCTGTCAATAATTCAAATTGAAAAAGAAAAAAAAACCCAAGACTTTCTCCTCTTTTTTTTTTGGTTCAGCTAGAGAAAGGTTTTTATATTGCACAGAATTGGATAAAAGCGTAGCCAATTAAAATAAAATAAAAATTAAACCAATATATGCTGTCTCACATCATTTTAACTGCTGGTTTCCATTATTTTATAATGCTGCAATACATACACGTGTAACTTAAGGCACTTAGAATATTTCTTGGTCTCCGATCTGAAATCAGCTGTTCAACGACAAAATCAAAACCAAGCAGAAGCAACCATGTTTGTTCTTTACCTTTCTTACATTTTTATAAACACCAACGCTGTGTCATCAGAACAATTTTAAATGTTATGCATCGGATTCCATGAAAAAGCCATCGGCGATCTGGCTCTTGCGCAGACACAATCCAAGGTGGTTTCTTCCTGTTACATCAACCACAAAACCAATCGAGTTTTTTGCTTCCTGAAGAAGCCACATGAACATTAAACCATGTCGCCTAATCTCTTAAACTAGATATTTAATTCGTACTCTGTCACATGCTGCAACTTATTTCAAAAAAGAAAACCTGGCTAGACAGGTCTTTTTGAAAAACAGGTTATTGTAATATGTTTATATATATATATATATATATATATATATATATAAAATTCAGAGTATAAATGAAACCAGAAAAAGTGAGAGATGAGTGTGTGTGTGTATCAATTAGCTGTGCATTCAATTTTTATTCTTTATTTTTTATAAAATAAATCTCATCAGCATAAAATAAAGAAAAAAACATTCAAAAATTAAATACAAAACAAAACATTTTTTTCAAAATAATACTATTAAAAAATATCTAGATAAATTGATAGGAAAAACACATAAAAATGACCACAAAACCAATCTTTTTTGAAAAATAAATAATGTAAAATGATAACACTAAAAAATCAAATGACAAGAAAAGGAATTTTTAACCGTATAAATTCTTAAAATTCATGATCTATGCTATTATATCGAAAGAACAACTAATGAAAAAACCACGAAACTCAATTCTTAACAAATCAAATATCAAAGAATGAAACTGAAAAAAAATCTATAACACAAAAAATTAAAATTAAAAGAATGAGAGCATCAAAAGTATGAGAATCAAAATAAAATATAAATTAGAAGGCATAAAAAAATTAGCATTATAGTGTTAAATTGAAAAGAAAAGAAACTTTAACAAAAGAAAGAAATCAAAAGAATAAGAATTAAAATGAAAAAGTAAAATAACATAAACTTTGATTGAAAGATAGAATTGAAAACAATAAAATTTTTAAATAAGACTCAAGAAAAAAATTAAAAAATTAAACAAATAAACAATAATCCATGACAAATTGTAATTCAAGAATGAAATTGAAAAAAAAATTAATTTTTTTTTCCAAAAGAACCAAAGACTAAAATTAACAATAAAAGATCTAAAGACTAAAATTGAGAAATGAATAGAAAAGAAGACATGCGTGTATTTTTGCACAGAGAGAGAGAGAGAGAGAGAGAGAGAGAGAAACCATCATTAATAAAAACTTATCTATCGACTATCATCACATGTTACACTTAAAAAAAAAAAACAAGAAAGTCTTTCTAATGATATAACAAAACAACATATTTAGCCATGGAAATATATTGCGATGCAAGCATCGCTATAAGGTCACAATCGCATCCCACACGCCAATTGTTATTTAATTTAAAAATTAATTAATCAGAGTGAAAAGTTTAAAGCATCTCTCATGATTTTGATATTCATAAAAAAATTAATATAAAAAGATAAAATTATCTCTAAATTATTTTCTTATATTTTCCTGAATATACGGGTAGGAATATCTTTTCATAATCTTGCAATAATTTGAGTTAAATTTCATATTTCTTTGTACTTAATTTTAAATCTCTTGGAAAGAAGGGTGGAGATCATCCTCCAAAATCTCTATGCAATTTAAAAAAAATTGCCATGCCACCGAGTATGGCTATTTTGTCTTGCTTCTTCCGTAATGTCAGTGCACAAATAGATAATAAATGTACTTATTGAAGTAGTGTGTAATGTTAAGATCCTCAGACTCTTAAAAACTACAGAAAAAGAAATTAAAATTCTCAAGCATAAGGTTACCACCCTAACTATTAAAAAAATTACAGAGAAACCTCTAATATATTTTGAAAGGTTTTTATTTATAAATCATCTTAAAAAAAAAAAACAGCCTACAGGGATGTTTAAATACAAGAAAACATCCTAATTAATAAAATTCTAATGAAAAATAATCCCAAACAAGAAGGAAAATAATAAAAATTCTGAAAGAGTAGCTTTAGGGTCTAATTTGAATAAAAAATATTCACTAACTTTAAATTGTCCCATGAATTTCACCTCTACTCCATGTTCATGTACCTCTAGATTTACCATTGGCAATATTGGTAATTGAAGTTAGAACACTAAGCATGTGTGAGTTGGGATTGAATCTTTTTCCAAATCTTTTTATCATTGATTGAAATGTCAACAATAGGAGCATCATGCATCAATCATTTTAATCACTATTATTACCTCAAGCTGCTTCTCTTTTATGTTTGCCTCCGTTTAAGGTTATATATATATATAACTTTGATATATTCTAAAAGATCTTTATTTCAGAAATTCTCTTGAAAAAATAGCCTATAAAATTGTTTAAACACAACAACAACAAAAACTCTAATAAAAGAAATTCTGATTAATTTAAAAACAACAAGAAAAATAATGAAATTTCTGAAACAGTATCTTCTAGATCTAATGGTGGCCTGAAGACAAAAATAGCTGGCAAGCCAGTACCACTTTATAATTAATCCTTGGATGGCAAGACTCTGAATCTGATCCAGCAAATGGATAAAAAATTGTGCTTATGTTCATCAAACTGTGTGTAAGACTTGTACAAGAACTCTCAAAACCTAACAATTAAAAACAATATAGTAAAAATAATTATGCAAAGATAGTAGTAATGTAGGAAAGAGCAGATCACCGATAGGATTTCATATAATTAATTAAACCTTGGAACACACATGGGTTAAGCAAAAACAAAGAATGGCATAATGTCATGGAGAGCTAGCCATCTAGATAATTAAAAGAAAACAACAGCCTTTTCAAAGCCATGCAAGTTTGCCTCTATCCAAGTCTTCCAAGTGAAGAAAACAAGAAAGAAACTGTAGTACAAGATGAGAACCTCGTAGTATAATACTCAAATGCTCTGAAGAAAGAGTAAAGGCCTATGCATACCATAAACGTGTGACATTGTAATAAATTAAAACCAGAAACATCTTCTTATATTCTTCTCCTCTATTGGCTTCCCTATATATACACATTACAAACCGCATAAACATCATCAAGTTCTCACTTAAAGTCCAAGGAACCACCTGCAGAGCTAACTGATCTCCATCCTTCAGCTAACCACGCTCGCTTAATTCAAATGGCCAAGGTTCATGCCTTCCCACAAGTTGACTCTTCTTCTTGCTCTGCTTCTACTTCCTACATGTCTTCAAAGCCAGAAACTTTCACTGTATGGATGAAATCACTTTTGATGCAAACAAATGGATGCACTGTTTTTAATAAAAACGGTGAGATTGTTTACCGAGTTGATAATTATGACAAGAAGGCCGGGAGCAATGAAGTTTATCTCATGGATCTCAGGGGAAATGTTCTTTTCACTATACTTAGAAGGGTATGTTCATGTGATTTCCAAGCATGTATATATATATATATATATGATCAGCCTGATCATTTTAAAGAACACCCTTTTGTCACAAAGATTAATGTGCTTTTTCTTCAATCACTGCAGAAACTATTCCTTTTCAGACAATGGAGGGGTTACAAAAGTGATGGCTTAAAATTAAAGACTCAAGAGCCTTATTTCCAAGTTAAAAGATGTTCAGAAATATTCGAAGGTGATCTATCCTGTCAAATTACTGTTCGATCCGGTGACGCTCAAGAGAGTTGCTACTACAAGTTAGAAGCCTTATCTGGAAAATTAGCATTCAAGATTACAAACAGCAATGGGGAAATTGTTGCAGAGGTATGCTTCTGGTTTTCCCTGAATTGTAAATTTACGATCTGGGACTCGGTTATATATTATATAGTTCAGTCTCTATAAATCTTATGTCATAGGCAATGTTATTAACATTTAGTTTTTGTGGTTGGTGTCTGTACAGGCCCAGAGAAAGCGATCATCCAAAGGTGTATTACTAGGGGATGATGTCCTAACCTTGGTGGTGGAGCCTCATACCGATGATCATTCCTTTATCATGGCACTTGTGACTGTGTACGGATTGATGCATCATAAGCTGTGAACAGTCTTCAAAATGTACACATCAGATAATTTTTATTTATATGGACTTAAGTGTAGAGGAAATATTTTTTTGATCAATTCAACACGCGAGAACTTCAGCTAATATCATTTTCTTTTTTCGGTGCCGAGTTGTATAGAAATTTTAAAGTCGTGATCCGTTCCCAAGTTTTTCTTTCACAATTTACACTTCCATTTTTCACTCACTATTTCCATTAATGCTAAGTTCTCATGTGATGTAATGTATATTAGACCCATAAATTATCTAACTATCGGTCACTTAATGCTTCCACCTTATATGTTTCTTACAACTACAAGAAATGTTAATATTTCATTAATATGCTTAATTCAAATTAACTTCGGATGATGTTTCAAAATCTAAAAAATATGTTATTTGATATTTAGAAAATAGTTATTCAAAATGTTCATGTAATTAGTTTTTTTCTCCTTTAACTTGAGAAGTATCAAATTAATGATAAAAACGTTAGCGATAGGATTTTAAGACCCTTTAATAATAAAATCAATGATTTTTATGAGAATAACAATAGATAAAAGAAATAATTTTAAATTTCAACAGCAAGAGCATTTGTTCTTGTTTTTTGGGGGTGATTGATGCTTTAAAATATACAAGCTTTTATAGAAAAATAATAATTATAAATATTTTACGTAGATGATTTAAGAGGTATTTATACTCCATAAACCTTGTTGTTTTGATAAAAGCAAGAGGGCTTAAAAGGTCATCTCTGCTTGTTAACTTTAATAAGGAATAAATATTTTTTACACATCATTAATAAGGGTTAAATATCTATTACAAATTATTAGTGAGATGAAAAATGTAGTAAACCATTTGAGAGATCTTTCTATACATTTATAGGTACAGAGAGATGATTATCTTTTACATGAGTAAATCATGCCATTAATATAAAATAGAGCTTGATAGGCTTGAGTTTTTAAAACCAATTGGATCTGGTAAATGACTAAACTCATATGAAAATGGTATGAATGTTTATAAAAAATTGTAATACCTTTAGTTTAATGGATATTTGAACTCAAATATATTGGTTCTAATATCTTATCATATTCATGTTGCATTGGGCTCAGCTAATAACTGAATCCTAGTGTAATGGGCAAGGGCAGAGTTAGGTGCATTTTAAAGGGCAGGCCAAAATTAAAATAATAATATATATTATTAAAATGCTTATTTGTTTTGCAGAGGTGCGAGCCCCTGCTTACCACCCCCTGATTCCACCCCTAATATTAGGTCTAGAAAGTTATCATATTCATGTTGTTATAGGCTCTTTTAATGCATAAAAATATCGAGTAAAAAATATTGACTCATCAGTTTTTCATCAAATTTTAAGTGGATGATGTGTAAAGTTTTAAAAGATATCTTGGAAGACAATTGGTCAAGTGATATCTTGTTTTTTACAGGGACGGGAGGTCTAAACTAAGTATTAGTTTAAAAAAAAAAATCAAAAAAAAAAAAAATCTCTAAAAACAAAGAAGAAAGTAAGTGAAATCACTTTACAATCCATAATGATTATTTTTAGAGGGAACAAGCATTGAGCACTCTTGAAATTTTTCATTTTTAATATTAAAGATCCAATTACATCCTTAATAAAATAAATTTTTGTTTTCGTCTCTTATGTAACATGTATCATCATCCCAAGTGATGCACAAGTCATTCCAACTCTAGTTTGAAAAAAAAAAAAATCACCATTAAATTAACAACTCAACATTCTCCGATATAGATAGAGAGAGAGAGCTGAAACTTTCATTCCCATTCAAATGCTCGAATAAACCCAATAAGACAAAATAAAATAAAAATCGTCCCAAGTAAAAATCAAGATTGAAAATCAGATTGGCATGACTATGATGACAATCGCATCCTATCAGAAAACCTGCCGGAAAAGTCAGTTGATAATAGAAATAGCCCCTAAACTGACCAATTCTACCACAACTCAGGTGACCGGCCAATATAAGGTTCTGCAAGGTAAGAGTACAAAATAATCTTGGCTCTAATAATTTAGAGTGCCAAGTAAAAGAAACCTCCATTAAAAGCTTTGTTTAGAAGGCTCGTTCCTTGACAATGTCCAAGCTCATTTCGCTAGGATCTGTCGCCTGTAACTCAACTTGAACCCCATCAAGCTCTCTCCTGAATCTATCCCTTGAACTAGCATACAACATCTTACTTCTTATCTTCGATGTGTCAGGAGACCTGAAACCAAGCGATATTAATTTTAGATAGCGACACAAATAAACTCAGATTAAGAAAAATAAAAATAAAACTTGCACTAAAAAAGATAATTCAATTGCAATATTTCCTTGATGTTACCATGCAACGAAGAAAATTTTGCTCTTTTGAACGTTCTCATCGGTAGTGAAATCGAAATCGTAGACAGCATATCGGCACTCGTTGGCTGGCAAACTGGCAGTGAAATCATCGTAGCTTTGTTGAGGTTCTCCCAATGTCTCCACCACCACTTGTTGGATCTTTTCTTCAATCTTGAAGACGATAAATCGGTGGCTCCTTTTTGCTTTAAGTTCCATGAACCTCAGCTTACACTCGTCATCAACAGCCATTCCAGATGCTGAATTCGCCTGTGCCATATATTAAAAATAATAATAAAAAATATGAAACTCTAGCTCACTACAGTAGATAATTAATCCTCATTAAGCAGAAAGGAAATATTTGTAATCTTTAATTTTAGATTGTGTTTACCACAGTACAGATGATGCGAATTTTGGGTTTCACTAATGCAACACTATTTTGTGACTGTTTATGACTCGGATGATATCAACATTATTTTGCCGTGGCATCTGTTCAAAAGTCAATTTTCTCGCTATATTTTTTGTTTTTTGTCAATTGAAAAAAAAAGGGATTAAATTAAGCCAATTTATAATTGTCTCCGATTTCCCTCAATTCAATGCATCACATGAGAGGGGAGCGAGAGGGAATTGAAGATTTGCTACAAGTGAAAGGGGAAGGAAAATTGGCTGCATGTGATGCATAATACTGGTTGAGATTGAAATATGTCATTGATTGCCATGATTTAAGTATTGTGGTTGGATGTGCTTTTAAAAAATTAATTTTTTTTAAACTTGAAATTAATATTTATTTTGTATTTTTTGATTGTTTTGATATGTTAATTTAAAAAAATAAAAAGTTATTAATTTAATATATTTCCAAGTAAAAAATACTTTAAAAACAATATTTATTACACTTTCAAACAAACATATATCCATCTTTGCAGCAGCGATCGACAAGAAAATGAAACAGTGTGAGAGATTTAAAATCTAACATGTGAATTAGGGAATATTTCTAATTAAGTTGTGACAAGGATAACATGTGAATCAAATTCCATTTGCACAGGAGGAGTGATTTCATGGAATGGGGGAAAAACAGGGGAACTTTCTCAGGTCCAAAATCAATAATTGGATAAAGAATATATTTTGATTGGATAGCTTTAAAAGATGCTTGAATACAATGTGAGACAATGGGAGCTCATTTCACAATGATTAACATTTTAAGTCAAGCCCATAAGAACTTTTCCTGTCACTGTGAAATTGACAAAGAAATGGAATTTAGGTGAAAAAAAACAATCATGTATACAGAATGGCAAAAGAGGATGGCTTCCGCCTTGAAGGAACTCGAATTTGAAATTGTAATCACGCATGATAGTTTTCAATAGCAATATTTTCGTGCAACGGAGAGGTAGAGAGGAAGCAAGAACATACCATTTTGCCACCAAAGAAGGTCGGGCCTTGTGAATTGTTGAGAAGGGATGAAGGGAGAGGGAGCACAGAGGATCGATGAGAGTTAAAAAAGAGAATGGAGATCCTTGTTTGTTGGGATCATGAGAGGTGGAATTTCAAGGGTGGAATGGAATTGTGGAAAATGAGAGAGTTTGGAAGAGAAAATGATGGGTGTTATTGTTGGTGTTGGGATTTTTTTGTGGCTCCTGGTTTATAATGTCTCCCTCTAAACTTAGTAAGCTAAAACTATCTATTTTTGGATAAATATGTTCTTTTGGATCATGCAACGTTGAGAAGTCCAAAAAATACAGGTTAACATTGAACAAGATATGATAGAGACAAGGTTATTTGGTCTGTGTTGCACTGTAAGTTGAATTGATCGTAGAAAACTCTGTTTCTAATATATTTAATGGTAAAGGTTGAGATAAAAAAAAATTAAATTTATAAGATTTAGATAATTTTATATTAAAAAAATTAAAAAAAAATATATGAAACATAATTCTCAAATAATATAATATTCAATGATAAAATTAAAAAATTAATTAAAAAATAATTTAAAAAAAATTAAATCAACCTAATAAACTCATAACTCAGGTTATAGGATTGAGACAATTTTATAAAAAACAAACTAAAAAAATTATAAAACCCAATTAAAACATATTTAATTAAAAAGGACCTCAAAAAATAAACATTATTAATTTAAGTTAATTTGTCAAACTAACAATTTGAATTATGAGATTGAGATAATTCATACAAAGTAAATAAAAATATTATAAAGTATGATTTTCAATTAATTCAATATAAAATGATAAAATAAAAAAATCAATTAGAAAAAATAGCTCAAAAAAATAAAAAAATGTTAGCTTGTATTTTTTTCAAAACAATATAATATTAAAAAAAATTAATAAAAAATAACTGAATAAAAACAAACAAAATACTATTAAATTGAATAATATTGTGTAAGTGTAGCTACGTTAATTTTGCAACGCCATTTATTGCTTTGTTAAAAGTTAACCTGTGTTTGTTTTCCCTGAGATTTGCCATCAAATATGATGGAGATGCATGAAAGGTTTAGGAGCTAGGACCAGTTGATTATTTGTCAATTTGGTAATGATACCATTAAAATGGACTCTTAAGTGGATGATTCCAACAATCTATTCGTTTCATAGTTTTACTTCAAACAATTGAGGAAACCTGGACAATAATTGAGTAAAAAGGCAGCACATCACATGATCTAAGGATGTTCAATCATGAAGATTACAGAAAAGAAAAAAGAAAAAGAATGCTCAGTAACGATATAAATCTAGCTTGCCTCTAGTTGAAGCCTGCC